TATTGTTTATGTTTATATAAATAGATATATTTTTGATTTATTGTTTATATTTATATGAATAGATATGTTTCTTGATAATATTGTTCATGTTTATATAAATAGATATGTTTCTTGATAAAATTGTTTATGTTTATATAAGTAGATATGATTCTTGATAACATTGTTTATGTTTATATAAATAGATATGATTCTTGATTTATTGTTTATGTTTATGTTTATGCTTATGTTTATAAGAATATATATGTTTCTTTTTTATCATTAATGGCTTCGGTTTAGATTTAGGTTCAGGTTCAAACTGAGATTTGAGGTTTAAGTTTTATTATTTAGATTTAGGTTCAGAATCAGGTTCATGTCCATATTCAATGATTGTGGGTGAGGCTCATGGTAATTTTTAAATTAAAGTTTTGAAGTCAATAGTTAGGCCAGTTTCAATTTAATTTTTGAGGTTCAGGGTAATGTTTAGTTTTTGTTTTATGATCGTGTTTAAATTCAGATTCAGGTTCAAATTACAGTGTTCAGAGGTCAAAATTTATGAAGGTTCAATGGTTTTTATTTAGGTTCAAATTCAAGTTCAGTTTCAGATTTGGTTCAGGTTTAGGATTGGTTCAGGTTTAGGTTTGGATCTGGTTTAGGTTTGACTCAGGTTTAGGTTTGGTTCAGGTTTAGGTTAGGTTTGGGTTTAGGATTGGTTCAGGTTTAGGTTTGGTTCAGGTTTAGTTTAGCTCTGGTTCAGGTTTGGCTCAGGTTTAGGTTTGGTTCAGGTTTAGGTTTGGTTCGGTTTTAGGTTTGGTTCAGGTTTAGGTTTGGTTCGGGTTTAGGTTTGGTTCAGGTTTAGGTTTGGTTCAGGTTTAGGTTTGGTTCAGGTTTAGGTTTGGTTCGGGTTTAGGTTTGGTTCAGTTTTCGGTTTGGCTCAGGTCTAGGTTTAGTTCTGGTTTAGGTTTGGCTCAGGTTTAGGTTAATTTCGGGTTTAGGTTTGGTTCAGGTTTAGGTTTGGTTCAGGTTAAGGTTTGGTTCAGGTTTAGGTTTGGTTCGGGTTTAGGTTTGGTTTGGGTTTAGGTTTGGTTCAGGTTTTAGTTAGAGATTTATAGCTCTAGTTTAAAAATGAATTGAATGTTAAGTATAAACATGAAGTGTGTAAGGGAGGTTTGGTTTGATTTATTTCAAAATCTCACACAACAAGGCACTCGCGGTCCATTCAAAAATAAACCAGGGAGTATGATATATGGAACTTAAGCCAAGGTGGCCGTTATACGATGGAGGGAGATGGCAAGGAGTATGAAATACAATGGAGAAGGGGTCGACAAGTTCCGTCCATATAATTATACATGCATTTTTTTTGTCAGCAAAATAAATTAGGCATTTCAAACGTAATTTTTATATTTTTATAGAAGAAGTAACCACATTCAAACAAGACACCCTTTAAACAACTCTTGTTCAAATGGTGTACCATTCTGCAAACATAGAGAATCATATGGAGGGTTGGAATGGATCGAACCCCTATTGCATTGATACTCCTTGTGAGGAGGTTAAAAAAAGGGCTACAAGCATAACTAACAAGAGCTTTATTGTGTCCGGTGTCAAGCATCAGTTAAATCATACCCCTGGTATACTCCTCATTCAACACGGAAATAGGCATTAAAGTAATTGTTAATCACTTTGTAAATTATTTAATTACTAAGGTTAATTGAAACAGTAATTATTTACGCTCAAATGTCGTCTTCCTTTTCAAATTATCAAACAATTAATAACATTCGAAATATTGATAATTTGTTTTGTGTTTTCGAATCAAAATACATTAATTTTTACTGGAAGGTGTTTTATCCTTTTTTATATCTAAATTTGTATTGAATTGTGAAAACTTCGGGGGGGGGGTGGAAGTAGATCATGTCGGGCTTTCATAAAAAAACTGTAAAGTTTAGTGCATCATTTTTAATCAATTGAACACAGCTTAATAAACGTCATATTCTTTTATATTTAAAATGTTTCAATAGCCCATCAAAAAAATATGAAATTCAAAGACAATACATTTACATTACAATGGGTTCGAGAGTCAACATTTGCTGACCTAAACATCTGTTTTACCGTTGGCTAAATGATAAAATACATGCGGTTTAAGCTTCCTGTAGAACTCCAAGTAAAACATAAGAATGAAAAAAGGAGAATGCAGAATGATGAGATTCAGAGAAAGAAGATGATGAGGGTTGGGAAGAAGATGATGAGGGTTGGGGAGAAGATGATGAGGGTTGGGAAGAAGATGATGAGGGTTGGAGAGAAGATGATAAGGGTTGGGAAGAAGATGATGAGGGTCGAGAAGAAGATGATGAGGGTTGGGAAGAAGATGATGAGGGTTGGGAAGAAGATGATGAGGGTTGGGAAGAAGATGATGAGGGTTGGGAAGAGGAAAGGATCAGACAAAAGGAGGTGCAGGTATGTTTCTAAGAGGAGAGAGTGGATAAGAACAATATGAAAGTAGGAAAACATGAAGATGACAATTCAGATATAATATCACCTATCCATTAATCAACAAATCTTGAAATCTTCAACAAACTTAAACTAACTAATCCAGTTCGTTCTATAAGTATATAAAATACAGGAAAAATTGGTTAGTAATGATTTCTAAAAAGTATTAAGTTTCTAGTATCATGAATATTAATACTAGAAATGATTCTGATAAAATATAAAGTCATCATCAGGGTAATTAAACAAAACACATTTAATCTTTTTTCATATCGGGGTCATACTTTTGAACAAATTTAAAAATCGCGGCGAAATTTGAAATTTTGCACGCCACTTAATGAGAAAAAGTCTCATTGGTCGGAATATCCAAAAGTGGGGAAAAGAGCGGATTAAGCAGAATTCAAAAGTTTCCACTGCAGTTCATATTCAGATTAACCGATCGGTATTAAGGGTATCTAATTCTAAAGTTTTCAGCTCTAAAAACAATCGTATTTCAGGTTTGGAATATTTAAAATCCAGAGCTACAAGAAAGTAGAGATAGTTCAAAATTATTTCTTGGTGGAAGCTCTTTTACTAATTATCATCTAAGGTCGTTAGTTTATCATTAGCTGTCATCTTATCTGTTCGTGTATTAGTACAGATGACCTGCAAGCTCTTACCTGACCTGCAAGCTGTTGTGGTCTGACCTACGGAGCTACGGCGTTAACTCTAGCTTGGGGCAGGGGTGTAAACATAATATGAGAAGGAAGCCTAGTCGAACAGGGAACAATAACATTAAGCAAAATAATTGCAGAACAAAGACAAGACGTAAAAACTGTTTGAAGATATTCAGATAAGTAGTAACAACATCATTTGTTAAAAAAGAATGAAAGAATATCTTGTGCAGAAAATTAGGTTTCAAATTGGGTACTGATCTATTGCTCTAGAGGAATAGGTATCGATCTAGGCCACTTTTAATACGCAAACTACTCCCTTTAATTCGCAAACTACTCCCTTTANATTGCCTATGTCACCATTCTTTTCCGGTTAAGGCAGTAAATACCCATGAGATGGAATTTAAAGAATTTGAGCCGCGGTTTAAATCCGCCAAAATCCGCCAAAACCCGGTTTAAATATAGCGCCGGCTTAAATCTTGAATCATTTGATACAATTTTAAGTGGAACCAACCATATTTAAGCCGCGGCTTAAATTTAAACCGCCGCTCAAATTCTTTAAATTCGGCCACCGGTCTCATTAGTTAAATCCCTTCTCTTATTCTTGCAAAATTTACAAAAAATTCTGAATTACCGGCATCCCTGAATTGCAAAACTATTGCGTATGTCGATTACAAGCATAGATTAATAACAATACAGATAGAACACTAGATGTCGTCTTTTCAAGATTTAGGAGGCAGATGCCCAAAGGAGTTACGCGCAATGTCTCTCTTTGTTTTGTAGTTCAACTTTCACTCCTTCGGGGTTCTGCGCGCTTCAAAGTTGTTGTGAACGTAAAATCCCTAAATCTTGAAAATACGACATCTAGTGTTCTATCTGTATTGTTATTAATCTATGATTACAAGGTTTAACGAGACGAACTGATGAAGAATTACCAAGAACTAGGATGAATAATGGTTTACAGAATCTAGGTTTCCAAGAATATATTTTTTTGTGACTATTTTCAGCAGAAATATGAAAATGCAAATGATCATGATATCAATTAAAACGCGGAATGTGCTTGTAATAGAAATCGACGTTTTATTATCATTTGCAATATATTTGGTTTCTTGAACACCCTCTAATATATTTGGTTTCTAGAATACCCAGTAATATATTTGAATCCTGGAACACCCTCTAATATATTTGGTTTCTAGAATACCCAGTAATATATTTGGATTTTGGAACACCCTGTAATATATTTGGTTTCTGGTACACCCTCTAATATATTTGGATTTTGGAATACCCTGTAATATATTTGGTTTCTGGAACACCCAGTAATATATTTGGTTTCTTGAACACCCAGTAATATATTTGGTTTCTGGAACACCCTGTAATATATTTGGATTCTGGAACACCCAGTAATATATTTGGTTTCTGGAACACCCTGTAATATATTTGGATTCTGGAACACCCTCTAATATATTTGGTATCTGGAACACCCAGTAATATATCTAGTTTCTTGTAAACCCTGTAATATATTTGGTTTCTGGAACACCCAGTAATATATTTTGTTTCTGGAACACCCTGTAATATATTTGGTTTCTGGAACACCCAGTAATATATTTGGTTTCTGGAACACCCTGTAATATATTTGATTTCTGGTACATTCTGTGATATCTCAGGTTTCTGAAACCTTTGTAATATATTTGGTTTATGTAATATATCTAGTTTCAAATAAAAATTAATATTTCAATTTTAACACTCCTTTGTTTTCCTGTCTTTTATTACCCATTGATTGCAGTTAGGCTACCTTTATCTTGTTTAATGGCTGAACAATAATGAATAAATGGTTGGTTTGTGGCTTTAGGAAACCTTTAAAAATTATATCCAATTTAAATAAAAATCAAGTTATGAGATTCGTCTACATTTCTTGTTGATACGATCCACAGACTAGATATACACAGACTGCTCATATGCTCTCACAGGCTAGGCAATGCATTCCTATAGCTGACCCAGCCCGGCATGCTACATTTCCACGAAATGTTTTTGACAGCCATTTAACGGCCACTTGTGGCATATAATACCCATTCAGGGGTTAAGTTTTAAAATTTTAAAAGAGATACTCTAACTTTTAATATAAATCATAAAATTCAGGAATTTGGTCTATTTTTGAAGGTTTTGTTTTTCGTATCTCTTATCTCGGAAAGCACAAATTTTGTTTACATCACTCCCGAACTTGACAGTACACAATGTGCATTCCCAGTAATTCTTCTTTGGTTTAAACTGAAATACTGTGATAGGAAGGAACTACGATGTGAATTCAAATATTCAGTGCATGTCTCTGATTCTATAGTTGCATATTTGAATTATTGAAATTGTTTTGGTTTATCTGGAACTAGTTTATTATACTGCATGCAATCCATAGATATATTTCTACCATAAGAAGAGAGTGCAGTGGGCTCTGTAATGCATGAAAATAGAAAAAAAGAGGATGGATGAATTGAGTGCGGGAGGGTAGGACGGGAGGAAGAAAAGAGGGAAGGACGGATTAGGAGAGAGGTAGAGGGTAGAGCGGGTGAGTAAAAAGGAAGAATGGGGGACGGATGAGAAGAGAGGGTAAGAAGGGATGACGGGTGAGGAGAGAAGTTGAAGTGGGGATAGATGAGTAGATAGGGTGAAGGGATGACGGACAAGTGCATGGAGGAACAAGAAAACGGATGAGAAGATAGGGTGAAGAGAAAACGAAGAAGTACATGGAGGAATAAGAAAATACTATATTCCAAATTACGTCCTTCTTCCTAGGAAATGGTTCTTCCTTCTAATTGATATACTTACTTCCGCACAATGCCATGGTTCAATTCCTTCAATACAAGGATACTTACTCCCCCACCATGCTTCAATACAAGGATACTTACTCCCCCACCATGCAATGGTTCAATTCCTTCAATACAAGGATACTTACTCCCCCACCATGCCATGGTTCAATTCCTTCAATACAAGGATACTTACTACCCCACCATGGTCCAATACAAGGATACTTACTCCCCCACCATGTTTTAATACAAGGATGCTTACTCCCTCACCATGGTCAAATACAAGGATACTTACTCCCTCACCATGGTCAAATACAAGGATACTTACTCCCCCACCATGGTTCAATACAAGTATACTTACTCCCTCACCATAGTTCAATACAAGGATACTTACTCCCAGACCATGGTTCCATAAAAGAATACTTACTCACCCACCTTGGTTCAATGCAAGGATACTTACTCCCCCACTATGGTTCAATACAAGGATACTTACTCACCCACCATGGTTCAATACAAGGATCCTTACTCCCTCACCATAGTTCAATACAAGGATACTTACTCCCAGACCATGGTTCCATAAAAGAATACTTACTCACCCACCTTGGTTCAATACAAGGATACTTACTCCCCCACTATGGTTCAATACAAGGATACTTACTCACCCACCATGGTTCAATACAAGGATACTTACTCTCCAACCATGGTTCAATGCAAGGTTATTATTTCCCAATGACGGTTCGATACTATAGTAAGTAAGTAAGTAAGTAATTATAAATTTATGAAATATAACAAAGAGAAAATAAACAAACAAATGAACAAACAAACAAAAACAAACAAACAAAAATGAGAAAATATTTAAATCCTCCAATATTAGAGGTTGTGGGAATATGTCCCTCCAATATAACTGGTGGTGGATTTCTAGTATTTTTCGAGGATGAACGAACAACTTTTAGAAATAATTATTTATCTCTTATTATAATGTTAAACAAATTAAATTGGTTTTCAGAGTTGTGAAAAAAGGTACAAAACTAGCATAATTACTTTTCCTCGATAGTGCAATACCTCTCTCCCTCACCCCTTTGTTCTCCCCTGTCCTCCTCCCCTCCTCTGGTTGAATAATAAAGCTGCATGATATTGAATTTCCAAACACTTGTGATCTAAAAGTTTTATATTACCGCAAGATAAAAGTATTAGTTTAAAACTTGTCCAATATAGGGTTTTATGAATATATATTAGAAATACAAACTTTTGAATTTTTTAAAGAAATAATTTGGTTTTTGGTTAATATGCCAGCGTGCCTTCGTTTTTGAACATATTTTTATCAATATTTAATCAAGGTTTTGCGGTTTTTCTATTTTTTCTTTTTTGTTTGGTATAAAATTATGCATTGCTCATTAAAATGGATAACTGTGTTGTATTCAATCTACATAATAAAACAAGACATTCCTATATATGTTGTGCCAGCCAAACGGCTGGACCGATTGGGCTGACATTTTTTGTGGACACTCATGGGTGGCCGGGGGGTGTTTTTTAATTCCACGGGAAACGCCGGGCCCTTCAGCTAATATATATTAATTCAGAAATGATGGACTTTCAGGCTGTTTAAATATTTCTAGCATCATTTATTTTTTAAAAAAAATTGGGACTTTAAGCTTAACTAAATATGAATATAGAATTCATGAACTCAAGTTTTTCTTCATTTTATGTCATAAAAACATTTGTTATGATTTGTAAAAACTATTCTTCTTCAAATGTTTTACATTAAAACAATATTTTATTGATTTTCTTGTAAACGAATTCATGTTTATCGTTGACATGTGTCGTTCTTAGACTACCCCCAATCTCGTAGATGTATATGACATGTTACTACAATATCTTTTTAACACTTTCCACAACGCATTAAAATCAAACTCGGGAAAAAAAATCAAAAAAATCTAGGTTATTAATATATTGAAAAAAAGTGTAATTTGATTTGTCTCCTTTAAATATCAATGTGTAATCACTTTAACCAATCAGAAACGAACAGCAAAAATATTAACATCGACATCGTTCATAAAGAAGAATTATATGGATTTTGTTAGAAATCATGCAAGTCTAAAGGTTGAATCAGATTCTTGAATGCAGAGCAGAGCGTATGTAAAAGTTGGGAGGAACGCAACAATTTAATATTTTGAATATTCGTGTTTTCTCTAATCCGTGGTGCATCCACCACACAGATCCAGACTCTTTTGAAAAGT